AATAAGATAGGAAAAGTAAGAAGAAGAAGAGAGAGAGAGAGAGAGAGAGAGGAAGAAAAGTCGAAGAAACGTACCGATTTTCCCACACATTTTTTTTAAATCTTGAATTAAAAGCAAGCGGTTAGATAATTTTTGGAAAATTTCCCCTTTACAAGCACCCGAGAAACACGTCTCCCTGTTTTTACAATTTCTACCGTCGAGAGAAGCTAGATTAAATTTAGAATTGGATAAAAAGCGGGAAGGGAGGGAGAGATCGTTAATTATCGGGACGCGAGCTCGCGCGATAAATCGGCGAATACAGCGGTGCTGCACTCTTCTTGCTATCCAATCCCCCTGTTCCATTTCTTCCCCTCTTTCCCTCCCTTTTTCCTCCGGTCCATCGGCGAGGATCGAAGCGAGAGAGGCCATTCGTATCGATCGGCCGTGTTTCCGATCGGGTAAAACGATCCCGCGCATAAAGTTCGATTAACGTGAGCAATCAGCCCGCCGTATTATAGAAAGAAAGGTTTTCACTCGTGCACGCTATGCTAGACGCAACGTGACCCGCCTAAAACTTTCACGAAGCGCGAGAGGCGTACGCGCCCCTTCTCCCCCGTCCTGAATTTCGACTTCCTTTAACCCCTCCTCCTCCTCCTCCTCCTCGATGGCTGTTTTCTGTTCTGTTTCTGCGTTTATTTCGTATTCTTCTCGAGGAAGGGATAAAAAGATCGTTTTTTCTCGAGTTTGACGAAGAATAATACGAAGGAATTTCTGAAAACAGCGATTTTTTTTAAACGCGTTCGAGTTGGAGTCGATGAAATCGGATCGACATCTCGACATCATGCGTGTAAATATCGCGTTTCTCTTCGGTGCAACGTATTATCAACACGCGCCGCAAGCCTTCTCATCAATGAAGGCCGATGTCACGTTTCACTCGAAGCCAGACGAAAGTAAAAATCATCATCCTCCGAGTTTCCTTTTACCGAGCCCAGGAGAACTTTTTCCTTCAGAAAAATCCTCGACTTCCTCCTCCGCGCGTTTTCTCTCTCTCTCTCTTTATCTTTCCGGATCCTCTTCGTCCGTGCGATCCTTCGCAAACGTGTTTTTCTCGTCTTGTTGCCTTGTTGGTGGAAGCGATCCTCCACGATTCAACGGCATGCTTCTCATCGAGAGGGGAAAGCATTTTTCGAACCGCTTCCGGTTCCAACGAAAGTATCCCCGCTCCGCTTTTTGAAAGCGAACGAGGATAAACTCGTAGTTGAAATTCTGCTCGCTTGCCCTTTACCTGTGTTAACCTGCGAATTGTTTATTATTAACAAAAAACAATTGGGTTAATCGAGGCACGACGCTAGCAATTTGGTTACGTAAAAGGGGAGGATGAAGATAAAGAGAGGAGAGAAGGAGAAAAAATAGGCAAATTCTCGAGGAACGGCGAGATCATCGAATTCATCGTGTTTTTCAAAATCACGATTAAGAATAAAAAGAAGAAGAAGAAGAAGAAATAAAGGAAAAGGAATGAGAAGAAGGAGAATAAGAGGAAGAAAAAGAGAGG